CCCCACAGCCGCAGGGGTCACCGTGACAAACGCCTGCTCTTCCTCCCTGCTCTCCCGGAGCGGGGTGTCCCCGTGCCAGATCCCACTTCGCTGTGTTGTAGCCTGACACCTTTCTTCCCGAGCTGGGGGACAGAGCGGCATCTCCCCTGGGCCCCTGCTCTCCCCACATCCCTGGGTGTCCCTCCCCGCTCCACCCGCCTGGCTCAGCCTTGGCCCCGGGAAGGGGCTCCCTGCTCTGGCACCAGGCCCGTCTGCACACTTGCAGAGCAGACTGAGGCCTGTCTGTTTGGATTTCTCCGCTGGGTTGGTCCGTGCTGAGGTCGGCCTGCTGAGCATCCCTGTACAGGAGTTAAAATCCGAGCAGGGCTGACTTGGCTACAGACTCTTGGAGGCCCATGGTTTCCAAGGAGTCTTGGAAACACTGGACATTTTTGTTACGTTTGTATTTTCTTACAGTCTGGAGCATTTGAGGGTCGGTTACAAGTTTCCTGTGGGGTTTTTCTCCTCGTGGTCTATCTCTGTTGATCTCTAGGATGAGACTGGTGCATACCTAATAGACCGGGATCCCACCTACTTTGGACCCATCCTGAATTTCCTTCGTCATGGGAAGCTGGTCCTGGATAAAGATATGGCTGAAGAGGGTGAGTCCTGGAGCTCAGAGACATGCCGCTTAACATCGCTGCTGCAGCCAGGACTTGTTGTTGACCTTGTTTTCTCTCATTCTGCTTCTGGATGTTGATGTGGGGGGGTTTGAGAGGGCTATCCCTGCAGCTCTTGGAAAGCGTACCAATGTTTCCTTTACTAAAAGGGTTCGGAGTAAGTGAGGAAGGCATCCTACAGGTGTTGTGGCTTCATGTCTGTTTGTTCAGCAGAGATGTCACCAAGACAGAAATAGCCCAGAGATCTCAGCCTCAATAAACCTTTTTTTCACTTGTTTCTGATCCTCTTGTAATCAAAACTCAGTGACTGAGTTTTCTGTTAATGACTGAGTGTTTCTAATTGGGAACAAAAACCCAGAAGACCAAACAAAACCGAGCTCATCTCTTCTACTGACTGTAATCAAGACTGTCATTAATCAGTGATAAGCAATGTATGCTACTGATGGGCTGTGGGCTGTAGCAATTCCAGTGGAGCAAGCCAGACAAACCAATCTCTCATTTGAGGTTGACAGGGGGTCCAATAGGGTAGCTCAGTAACATTGTGGTGTTACCAGCCAGCAGTCCCCAGTGCCTCGTTATTTTTTGGATGCTAAAGTCTAACAGGGAGCCAATTCCAAAGACAGGCTGTGCTGTCCAGCCCTTGGCAAACACACTTTGTGCATGTTCATTAGTCTTCTTGCCTCTCTCTCACACATATTTTCACCTAACGCGAGGGAAGCTTTCTTAGCGGCTTACAAGCTGTATTTCCAAAAATATATCTAAGCAATGGTACAGAATTGTAATAAACACAGTACTGAGGTGTTTCCTATTTGACATTTCTTCTAATCCTGAGGTCAGAGTTCATCCACAAGTTTTAACATCAAATCTGAAGCATAAACAGGGGTCCCGTTCATAGCTTAACATCGCCTTTGTTCCTGCTGCAGACCCTCAGCATAAAACTAAGCCACCAGACAATTCACGGCTGAAGGAGGGACTGGTCTGAGCGTGTCAGGTAGTGAAGGATCTATCTCCCCACCTGCACTGTCTGTGTACTGCCCTGGGGACATGTGAGTGCGGGCTCCTAGCTGCCTTTCCCTTGCTGGCTCTCTGGGAACCCACCTCCCTTTCCCTGAAGGCCTGTTGGCAAACCGGTGAGACTCAGGAGAGCTGGTGGATGTGGACACCATAGAGAAAAATCCCCAAACACTTCTCTGTTTGCTTGCTTTGAAGTGAGGCACAGGGGAGAGAGACAAAGATACTGGGCTGCAAGGTGGGTGCAATCCCAGCTGGCCCAGGAGGAAAGTTGGGATTTTCTAGGATCTTTTGGGGACAAGGTCAGAACAAGTTGTGGTTCTCTGACTTCAGAAGAGGGCCTGAACAAGGTGAAGTGGTGGTCATTGAGAGAGGATGGAGCCTACATTGCTTCTTCTTGGCCAGTTTTCTGGGAAAGGTATTAGCAGTCCTCAGCACCAGCGGTAGCTGACAGTGCCTGTTTCTGTAGTAGCAGGCACCATAAGGAATTTGGGGTGGGCATTAGAAATGCAATGCAGGGAGACGGGGTTCAGTTCTCTGGGGTAAGAGTCTCAAGCAACAGAAACCTGTTAAAAAGTGACATTGCAGAGTCATTTCTCCCTGTGGACCTTGGGAAGCTCAGATTTGATCTTCTGCAAGCCAAAAACCAGATGGACTGTTAACTTTCTGTCTTTGCGGTCCTTCTGTCTGTCCTTCTCAGGGGTCTTAGAAGAAGCCGAGTTCTATAACATTGGCCCTTTAATCCGAATAATCAAGGATCGACTGGAGGAGAAGGACTACACAGTAACTCAGGTATGGAGAGGAATCGCAAGGAAAGATGGAGTGGGTTGTGCGAAGGAGGGAATGTGGGAAGGGAAAGGTGTGTCTAGAAGGGAGAGCAGCAAGGAAGGGAAAGAAGCAACTGATGAGAGTTTATGTGCTAATGTCTACATAGCAAAATCTTGCAGGGGAGAGGCTACCACCATTTGCATTACAATAAACAAGTTACAGGCTTGTTTTGCAGCCCCAGAAGTAAGGCTAGATGTAGCCCCTGAAACCGTATCAGATCCTTCTAGCTTTTGGAAGAAGGCAGCTGGTTGCTGTGGGATATGGAAGAATGTTTGTCAGGGAAGTGAAGGTGTCGTGGGGAAGAGGGCTCTGGTGTGGAGAGTCCTAGGTCTGTAATCACAGTGAATAGCATGGGGTTACCTGTAGAGAAACCTGGAGGGAAGAGGTGAGAGATGTCTGTGGAAGAGTTAAATGCAGGCAACGAGGCACAAGGAATCAATTCTGTGGCACAATCACACCATGCCTTAGCCAGTGACCTTTTAAAATCTGCATTCTGGGAGTGTTGGCTGATATCTCCCTTCTCATTACATCTGCCTCGTGTTGCAAGTCTTCAGCAATGCAGTCACTTTGCAGTCTCAAAACCCCATCAGCATTTGTGGTATTTGCATAAATGACTTCATAACGACAAACGCAAACTCCCCGTCGAAACAGCCTGGTATCTTCTGGGGGCAATGCAGGAAGCATGCAGCTCAGTCCCTTCTCCCCAGAAGAGATTCTGTTCTTGCTCCCCATGGCAGCAGAGTAGAAAGTTGTGTTGTGCCTTCCATTCCCCTTAAACTTGGGACATGGGGAAGAGGACAGGTCTGCCAAGGAGGAGTACTACCGCTTCGTTCTGCAGGAGGGCAACAGCCTTTCGAATCTGACTGTTGTCAATGTGCTCTGCAATTTTGCTGTCAGGTGCCTCCTAAGCATGTCTACCGCGTGCTACAGTGCCAGGAAGAGGAGCTCACTCAGATGGTTTCCACCATGTCGGATGGATGGCGCTTTGAGCAGGTATGGAGAAGGTAGAGGAGGTTGGGAAGGAGCTGTGTTCTGGGGAAAGGGCCATGGGTACCATACAGTCCCCAGGCAAGGCACCTTCCCTCTCTGAGAATGTTGGGTCAGTCACTGATGGTGCACTCTCTCTGCCCCTTCTCTAGAGGTTTAGAGGATACTGTGTGAGGTTTAGCTGGTTTGCATCCTCTCTGACTCCTCTCCTGGTTCTCTGTGTTGCCTCCTCAGCTTGGTTACGAGGCCTTTTTATTGTGGGTATGGCTTGAACTCCGTGCTGCGTGGTGGGCTTTCTGCCTTGCTCCCCAGGTGGAGTGGATGTTTGTAGGAACACGTGCTTGTGATACTTGCTCTCGTCTTTCCTAGCTTGTGAACATTGGCTCATCCTATAACTATGGGAATGAGGATCAGACAGAGTTCCTGTGCGTGGTCTCCAAGGAGCTGTACAACTCCCACAATGGCCTGAGCTCTGAGCCCAGCCACAAAGCCAAGGTGAGACCAGCTTTGCTGTGGCCTTGCTCCTGTCGCCTATGAGATCCTTCGCTCTTGTTTGCTCCCTCTTTCTTTCCTCTCTCCGCTGTGACTGCGGGGCACCTCAGGGGTGAAATACAGGGGCTCTTCCTGGTGTTCAGCACCGTGGCATCACACCCGTTACCCAAAAGGAGGAGCGCATGTGTTGAGAGCGGTGGTGTCCGGCTGTGTGTGGCAAGTGGCTTTAGCAAGCGACACTGGCACTTCTCATGCTCCTCTAACATCCCCCTCGCGCCTCCTCATGACCATGCTCTCTGCGTCACTCTGCCTCTAAGGTGTGATCTCCTTGAAGGTTTTGCAGCATTCTCTTTTCTTTTGCTGAACCCCAGCCCAAGAAGCAGGAGATCACCTGCTCCCCTTTTGAGAGCAGGATGGAAACGTGTGGCAGTGCATGACATCCCGTAGACCCCTAGGATACAGGAAAGAGCACTAGCGACTGATGGCACTTGTTGGGCAGTGAGGTCACAGCACTTACAGGTGGGTTAGATAGCCCTGAGGTGATGCTCCAGAGGAAGACAAGTCTCTTTGCTCCCCAGCCCAGAGCTGTCTTGGCCATGGGGGAAGGTCCCTTTTTATGCAAGTGTCATGACCATTGCTTTATTCCCCTGCGTGTCTGAAAGAACTGCCATGGCTCATCTTGCAAGTATCTCCACTCTTTCTTCCCTTTGTCCTGCATGCTGGGCCACAGAGCACAAAGGAGGACCTGGAGGAGGAAGAGCAGGAGGTGGAGGAGAAGGAGGAGGCAGAGACAGAAGCAGAAGGAGAATCAGAGGAGAAAGGTGCAGCAAATCCTTGAGGAAAATGATAAAAATACCCCCCAAGCATAGACCCGTCCACCTTTCTGGTGAGAGCTCACAGCTAGCAGCAGGGAAGGACTAGGGCAGGTGTGGGGTGTGGGGAGAGTCCTCTCCAGGAGCAAAAGTCTCTCTGGAGATAAAACTGTTACTGTGGCTGCTGCTTTGTGTTTTAAACTGGTTTATTTATGGTTATATGTTTATTTGCAGACTGTCCATCTATTCGGGATTGCACTGAACTCTTTCTTCCTCCAGACCCTCCCTCCTGCTCCCTCTGTGCCCATCCCAGCACTGTCACCTACCTCCCACTCTGCCCCACTCCCCAGCTTCCAGCATCCTTCCCTCTGCTCTTTTTGCCTCCCAGGGCTCAGAGTGGGCCCCGTCTCTCTCTGCTCCTCACTTTTCCTCCTCTGCAGGTACGTTACCTGTCTGCACTCTCAGCTCTGGCCAGTCTGAGCTCTGCATGAGTGACTCACTTCCCTCTTGTGGGTATGGCCCTGGTTTGTAGAGCTTGGGGAGGGGAAGGAGGGGGGGAGGTTGACTCATCCCTAAGGTGGCTTTTCTGCTCATCCTATGTGTGCCTTGACCTGCCAGGCAGGCCCTATGGCTCTGGACCAGAGGCTCTGGCAGCAGAAAGGAGAGTGCAATGACTGCAAAGCCGGCAGGGGTGGCATGGGGAACGGGGGGATGCCTGCCACGTGTCTGCCTGGCACGCGTGCCAGATCACTTCTCCAGGCGGCCATCCATGGCTCCTCTGCCTGCCAGCCCGAGAGCAGTTTGCAGAAGGCAGCCTGTTAATTTTCCCTCCCAGCTCTCGCTTCCCTGGGCTTTTCCCCCACCACCTCAGCCAGGGTGAGAATGCAGCGGGAGAGGGTGGTGAAGGCAGAGCGGAAGCAGCCAGTCCTCACTCCAGATGTTCTTGCAGCTGTGTGCGAAATGAACCTCTGTGCTCTGCCTCCTGCTCAGGGAGGCTGCCTGGCTGGGGTGCGTGGGGCTGACAACAGAATGTCTTAGGAGGAGGGTTCCTCTCTCATCCTGGAAAACCGTGGGGCTTTTGTTAACCCAGAGGAGCTCAGTGCTACTCTCCGTCTTGGTGGAGGGTACTTGTTAGCCAGCTGACGTTTCTCTCTCCCTCTGTTCGAGAGCCTGCTTGCCCATGGCTGTGGGACCTGAGTGCTGTTCTCTTAGAAGTCAGTGTATGACAATCACACGGCCTTTCCCTTCCTTTTCCGTTTCCCACCCTCACTCCTCATCTCTCTTTCCTTCTGTTCTCATCTCCTCTGTGATTTCCCCTTTCCTGTTTCTCACTCTCCCCTCCATGCTCAATTGCTTTTTTTGCCCTGCATTTGATTTTGTTTCTCTTTTCTCTCTCCTTCTCTAGCTGTTACAAGCCAGAGGTCTGAGGATGTGATCCCGACACTCCACTCCAGCCTTTTCCTTTCTTGTTTATATCTATTTTTGTACTGCAGCGTACGGCAGCCCCTTGCCCCGCAGTGACACCCACCCCCCCAGCCCCTTTCACTCTTCACATGCAGCCACTCTTTTTTACAAACTCACCTCGGAGGCCTGAGCCTCCAGCCCTGGGGGAGGGCAGATGCTCCATGGAGCCCCTGGGCTGGCTTTCCTTAATGTCACAGTGTCCCCTGCTGGGGACATCCGTGATCAGCCACTGCGGTCCCTTCCCCAACACCCTGGACGCGGCTGGGGCCCCGAGGAGGTGGCAGCTGCTGTAGGACAGGTCCTTGCCCTTTTGCTCTTGCAGGCAGCTGGTCTGGGCTTGTGGCCAGGGGACAAATGGGCCACTGCCCTTCTATGGGCCAGCTGTGCAGCTCGTGGAGTGTCCCTGTGTCAGACTCCTTGGTGCCTCCCTCTCTGACCCCAAAGCAGCCCTGTGTCAGCAGGGTGAGGAGGAGACGGGGTGCTGCCTGGGTACCGGGAACACACTGGCACCTGACGTGTCCGCTAGCACGAGGAGACGCTTGTCTCGGGGAGCGGGGCGCTTGCTTCAGTGAGGACACCAGGTTGTAACTCCTGAATAAAATTCACTGTCTGTTCCTTCTTACCGCCTCTCATTTCAAGTGGCAGAAATTTGGTGCTGGTAGAAGGGAGCTGGAGGAGTTTGGATTCATCACCTGGAGCCACCAGAAGCTGCTTGTGCTGTGCCTATCTTCTGGGGGCTGGAAGTGCTTCCCGCTGCATCTGTTCTGCATCCCCACTGCAGGCACCTGGGCTACAGAGTAGGTTTGCTTATTGGTCTCGGCCCCCCTAAATCATAACAGTAAGCGAGGACCGGCTGTCTAGGCAGCGTATCGACCCCCCTGCGCCTGGGGCACAGCGGGGAGGGAGGGCAGGGCTGTGGGAACTTCTGCCATTGCCAGTGCCAGGATTGGAGTTTGATCAAAAGGATACAAACCCCAAGGTAATTTTTAACTGAGTAAGGCAAACTAGAGAGAAAAACCCAACCTCAAATTAGTTTTATTTCTAATTCCAGAGAGTAGCCCGTTGTGTCTGTAAATATACACGCATATATATGTATATCTTTAGTAAAAAACCCAAACCCATAGCAGTCACTATTTAAGCACTGTGCTCTGCAGCCTTCTCCTTCACCTCCTAAATTATCCCCGTTAGGAGATGGAAGCAGTTGATAATCCCCCATGTTAAAGGTATTTAGAAGGGCTGAGGGAATGGGGAACTGCTCCATAATTTTTACTAGGGCTGGGGCCTTTCCTGAGGAAACGCAGCAGTGGAGGCTGGGTGCTGCTCCGGTGGGGTCGCAGGACACGCACCCGGGGATGCAATGCTGGACTCGTGCCTGGGAGTCAGTGAGACGTGAAGAGTTGCCTGGCTGAGCTGAGCTGAGCAGCACACTGAACAGCACAGCCAGCTAAGAAAAGAAGCAATTAGGGAGATGGAAGAGGAGGAGTGATGGGAGGGGAAGGGGGAAGAAGGATGAGCAGCAGGAAGGAAGAGGGCGGCAGATTGATTTCACAGTTACTGGAATCTCTAGCTACATCAGTCACATTTTCTTTCAGCAAATGTTCCAGCATAAGATTGTGGCTGAATCACATGGTTCATGGAAAGTTCAATTCCCCTTATTCCTTTTCTCAGAAACCATCAACCTGGCGCCATTGCTGTGTGTCGTATTGTCATCCCCCCCAGCTCTTTTGGATGGATGGCCTAAAAACACCTTGGGATGCTCCCTGGGAAGCACTGTTTCCCCAGTGGGAAGAGGGTCTGCCTGCTTTTCTCAACAATCCTCACAGCAGGCTTTTTTTACCCTGCTCAGAAGAGCATCCTGAGTCTGACAACATCCCACACAGAAACTCTTTCTCTGAGAGGAAGGTAAGCAAGATGAGGAATGAGTGCCACGTGAGTGTAGGTCTGATGGGGAGAAGGCAGAGATACACTCTTCTCAGCTCATGGTTTGGTTCATCCAGCCCAGCACTTGAGTGATCCTGGTGTATACTCCATAGTGATTTGGACGTGCGCATCCCATTCCCCAGCTGACCAAACCGGCCAGAAACCACCTCCCACTGGGTTCCTTGCAGGCCAGCGGACCTCCAGAATCACCCTAGAGAAAGGGAAAGAAAAATGGGGTATGGTGATCCACCAGCTTGTCACACTGGATGGTAACACTGGCTTTGAGTCCTGCTGTATTCCTGTATCCCCTCAACTCATGCCTGGGACATCTGCAACATTCCTTGTACCTTAGACAGATGTCAAAAACAGTCTCCAGTGCAAACATCCAACTCATAGTTGCATTCCTTCATCATGCAAATACCTTCCCCTTAGCCAGGTCCCAAGAACCTGACAGCTCTATTGTTTCCTTCTGCACCCTGTGGCATTTCCAAATATATGGAGAGCGAGGGAGCTGGTGGAATTCAACTGGATACCCAGAAGGATGGGAGACAGAAGAATTCCTTGAGATTGATAGTAATGAAGGAACAGACAGGTTACTGTGTGTGACAGATGCTTAAGAGGAGTAAGACTGATGTAGACACATGACTTGAAAGTGGGAGGTAAAGAGTGGAGAATGGGCTGAAATGAGAAAAGGAGAAGTTTAAGTGTATTTGGATCCTGTCTAAGTGGTCCTGAGAGCTGCTGTTAGCCACTTAGTTCAGAGGAACTGTTGGGGCAATCAGACATTTTATGGTCTTTTCACCCTCATTTCAGGCTATGGAGTGCATTTGGGAGACTTGTGACACACCCCACCTCCGGCTGTCAACCCTGATCTCACAACTCCTCTGTCACCTGGCAGGCATCTTTCTTGCCCTTCTGGTACCCAGCACACAGCATCCTGGGAGAAATCATGTAGTGATAGGCCTCGCTGCAGATGTCCTGCTGGATGAGCTCCACGTCCACCTTCTGCAGAACATTGCTGATGTGCCCTGAGGGGTAGAGCACCAAAAGTAGTCCAGGTGAGCAATGGTGGAGCTTCCCACTGTTTACCATGATCCCCCAGCCATGCCCATCTCACTGCATGCTGAAAGCTGCCATCTGGATTTCTATGGCATCACGGTCTCTGATCATCACAGGCCGCTTCACCTGCATGGAAGGAGTAACATTCAGGAGGCACTTCAGCTTCTGGGACAAGGGGAATTCTGGTCTGGGGAAACCTCTGGGATGTCAGTCTTGGGTTTGCGCCTCCTTGAAATGGATGTTAAGCTCTTCCAGCTCAGTATGCAAACCAGGAGTGTCCAGTTCTGGATAAAACCCTCAGTGTTTCCATTTAGGAATCAGCTGGAGCAAGTGTGTGAGTGAAGGTGCTAAGCCAAGCTGGGTGTGCACATCTATATTCTTGTGCCATGCACTACTAGAGAACAACTTGGACCTGTTTTCCTGGCCCTGTGGCGAGGGAATGTGAAAGGTCCATACCCATGCAGCTAAACTCTTCCTCATGAAACAGAATGGGCTCATGGGAGGAGATCTTGGGCCATGCTGTCCCCCAGCAGTGTGTGGGTGCTATGTGGACAAAATTGTCAAATGGTACCAGGGCGCATGCTAACAGTTCAGCAGTGTGCTCCCCGGGGAACCCTGTGCTCTTCCCATTGAATTTACTTGTACAGGTGTTGCTGGGGGACCCAGGTCCTGGGGTCTTTGACATGGGGAAAGTGTGGCTGCAAAGACTGCAGACAGGTGAGCCCAGGAGACCCAGTTTCAGTTTGGTGAAGAACAGGTTTTTTTATCTCAACTCTGTCTGGTCAGGCACTGTCCCTGGCGAATGACCAACAGGATAGGATCCCACATGTCTATGCAAGGATGGGGTTGGGCTTTGGGACTGGGGCTGCTCCATCCTGTGGCTGAATAGCCACAAGACAGACCCCTAATTCCTGCAGGGCTATTCTAGTCTCCGGATGAAGGAACACATGCCATCCCCGTATGGATTACCAGATTCTCACGCCTGCCCCTCCGAATGCTGGTTCAAGGCACTCACCTCTGTCCAACCTGTGACCCAAAATCAGAGGGGATGAAGGAGGCGTAATACGTTGGGGTGATCGGAAGCCTGTTCTGCCTACCCCACATCTGAACCTACATGTCTGCCTTGACTCCGCTACAGTAGGCCACCAGCAGAGGCCTTGCACCCACCGCCTTCCTTGAGGGCTCCCCAGCCGGTGACCCAGCAATGAAGGCCAGGCTCAAAGAAGTGAGACGGAGCAGGCAAGCAGATGGGCTGGATTAGGGGCGAGATGATCACAGGATGGTCCAGCTGGAGCAGGGCCACATCATAATCGTGGCTGTCCTCCTCGTAATAAGGGTGGAGGAAGAGGCGGATCACCTTGAAGGACACCTCTGTGTGGCTGGTGGCATTTTGCAAATATTTGCCCAAGTAAACGGTCCAGATGGAGGCGGAGGCCAGTCTGTAGGATGCAGCAGAGAAGAAAACTCATCACATGAGCAGAGAAGGATGGGCAGAGCCCGTCTGCTTCTGCCACAGTCTTTTTAGTCATCTCTGATATGGATGATCATCTCCCTCACAGAGACTTCTTTTTTTATCTGACTAATGATTTCAAGAAACTAGGTGGGACATCTCTTTGCCTTGACCTGCCTGTACAGTGGGAGCAATTTTAGGCGCTCATACCCACAGGCAACTTGCTCATAGTTGCTTATTTTCCATAGCAAAGCAGGCTAAAAGGTGTATGTAGGTTAGACAAGCAAGTGGGGCTGGTCATGTGCAAGTGACTGTGACAGGGCAGAGAGCAAGAGCTGAGCTGGTGAAGCAAAGCTGCAAGGAGAAGGAGGCATGGAGAAGGGGAGCAACCTCTGAGAAATTTCTAGAAGGGAGTGAAGGGAGAAAAGCAGCTCGGAGGTGAGGGCATCAAAAGGCATGACAGCCCTTTACAGAAACGGGCTAAAGCTGGGGACAGCCTAACAGGGTGACAGCTCTGAGAACAGAACAGCTAAGAACTAACAGCCAAGGCAGACCCTGTCTCCAGCAGAAGAGGGGAACTCATCCCGGATCAGAGCAGGAAGGAGCAGGGTGAGGACTGGTTTTAGACTCAGAGCCCTGTCCACCTTTTACACACTGCCCCTCCGGGTTCAAAAAACTCCTTGGTTTGCTTTGACCATCTCTCTTGCTCCAAACTCCCACTCAGGACTCCCCCCAGGCCTACTGCCTGCACAGGCTGCTGCCCATGGCATGCCCCCGCCCCCCCCCTCCGGCTGCTGCTCTTCTGCCCTTTCTCCTCCTACTTCTCTCTCACACCACTTAAACTCTGTCCCTGACAGAAACACACATATGCCATCGAATGGGGCTGTGCTAGCTCCGTTCATCCTGCATTGGGACACTCCAAAATGGCCAAATTCAGCCCACGTGGACCACTCAAAAGGCCTGCTCCCAGTGCTGGTGGGCTTCCTTGGAGGGTTGTAGGACACAGGTAGGAGCACGGCAGGAGCAGGGTGAGATGAGAAGCACAACTGCAAAGCAGCCCCAGTCCTACCAAGGCTGGTGTCACCAAACTGGGGGCGACCAGCAGCTTCTCCTCCCTAAGCCCACGTAGCATCAGGAAGGAAGGGCAGCTGGGGAAGTCCAGCAGTAATAGCAGGGAAGGTGGAGAATCCCCACCGGTTCACTGTAGATGAAAAAGGGGGTTTAGAGGAGGTGGAGACTGGTCCTGAGGGTTCACTCTCCTCCCCACCGCACACCCAGCCCTGTTGTGCCGCACAGCTGCGGACCTTCCTCCTCCTCACTTCCCATTTCGAAAGAATGAACCCCCCTGATCTGTATGTTGCTGCCACTGTTGTGGAACGTACACTGCGTGGAAGGAATGGTAAGAGACACTGCTTCCTCCTGAAAGGGCAGGCCCTGGGGGTGGGCAGCATGGCCCCCAAACAGCATCCTCCGCAGGTAATGCCATCCTGGCCCAAGCCTAGCACATGCTGACACCTCCAGGGCTGTGACAGCATGGGGACAAACCAGAGCCAAGGCAAAGATGGAGCTGTAAAGTGTCTCCCACTCACATTGCCCATTGTGAATCCCAGCACTGCCTCTTTTTCCCTGCACACCCAAATACTAGTGTGCATATCCATACTCCTTTCTCCAGTCCAAGACATGGAGAAGCATGGCATGGGTGCTAGGTGAGAGGTGTAGCTGCCCCATGACATTTTTACAAGCTGGATTATCCTCTCATCATGCGTGATGTGCAAAAGAGTGCAAATCCTTCTCCTGCCCAGCACCCTCCCCTCTCCATTTACCTCTCATCCTGGAAGCAGTGGGCGGCTGAGACCACCCAGCGGTCAGCAATGAGTGTTCCCCCGCAGATGTGGCGTCCCCGAACTTGCAGGCTGGCCTGCCACGGCCATTCCCCTTCCACAGAATTCGCACCACCCACGATCCTGCTGAGAGGGGCTTGCAGGCCACAGTCTGAGGAGGAGGAAGGGAACGTGATATACTGTGCTTGCCTTTCCTTTCCTACTAATGGACTGAAGAGTTTGACCTCTAATCCCTTGCCTTACCCAGCCAGCAGATTCTTTATGTACCGCACAGGACACGCTGCTGATGCCTGCACAGCATCACCCTGCACAGCATCACAGCACCCCTCCTCTGGCAGCGGCCTGGGGGTGCCTTTGGGACAGCATGCTGCCTTGGCTATGCGCTGTCCTGCTGGGAAACCCTCACAGTCATTCCCCTTCGCTGCCCACCGAGGCTCCAGAAAAAACAAGCAGGGAAATCAAAATACAAGCTCTGTCCCTGCCAGTGACCATGCGGTCATGGGTGATTTCCCTGGCTGGAGCCGTGTAGGATGGCATCGCTTCCCATGAGCCAGTACAGTGGTCCAACAGGTAGCCTGGGGATAGGACCTGGTCTGTGAGATGTGTCTGTCTGGCCCAATGCCTCTGCCTGAGGGAGGTGGGGAACATCTCTCCGAAGAGCAAGCGCCTGCTCCCCGCTCAGCACAGGGAGATGGCTTGTTACTGCTGGCACTGCTGCTGCGGGATGTTGCAGCAGCGGCTGCTGCCATGGGGCTGGGGAGAAGGCGGTGGGACAAGGGAGGGTGGGTCTTTATGCTGGGGGAGGGGGGAAAGGTGGTAGCCTAAACCTGCCTGGCTGACGCGTGACCAAGCATTTCCTCACCGCGTGACCAAGCATTTCCTCACCGCAGTGCTTCTCGTCGGACAGGTCCTTGCAGTCGGCCGTAGTGTCACACAGGGGGTTGGGTTTCTTCACACAGGTCCCATCCTCACAGCGGTAGGTGAAAGGACCACAGGGGACCCCTGTGAAGAGGAAGGGGAGCCGAGGCTGAGGGAGGGCAGCAGGTTGTAGGCATAGTTTTTGGGTGCGGGGAAAAACGCAACAGAGGGCTTGGGGGAGCTCCGTAACTGGTGACGGAATTCCCTGAGCCAGCTCAGCCAGATATGAACAGCAAAGGCTGCGAGCGGGTCAGGCGTGTTAACTCCCAGCGGATGCCCTCCCCTCGCAAGAGGGAAGTACCGACAGCCTTGGCTCCAGCGTAGGGGCAGGCATTTGCCTGCCCGGCGTCGTCCGTCCCTACCTTCACTGCACTGCTCCTCGTCGCTCCCGTTGACGCAGTCCCGCTGCCAGTTGCAGACCCGGCTGAACTCGATGCAAGTGCTGTCTTCGCGGCACTGGAACTTCGCAGGGCACACTGCGCGGGAGGGGAGCACCCGGGAATTAGGCACGCGAGGCAAGGCATCAGGTGTGAGCTCAGGGTCCTAAGTGCATCGGTAGGCTCTGTGACCTCTCCCCACCTTGTAAGGCATGCTTAAGGCCAGCTCTGGTATAGCGCAGCTGCGTAGTCTCTGCCTGATCTACGCTGTAGGTAAGCCTGCACCCTATCTTACACTTTGCTGATGCTGAATTAACTTTCCTTAACTTCTTGGCTTGGCCTCAGACCTGCCTCCGCGTTAAGGACTTGCCTGGAGGTCACTGGACTCTTGGTTGACCCTGGGTTACCATCGCCAGACCCGCTTTGCTTGCCTTGTTCAGGCTCTGTAGGACTGCATCCTGTCTGGTGAGGTCACTGTTCCTCCTGCCTTGCTGTCACCCTCAGCTGATGGGTCACCTTCCCCTTCAGAGCAGCTACTCCCCTTGCTCTCTGATGGATTCCTCAAAGCCCACGAGCTCTGACAGCTGCTCAGGTTGGGGATGGACCTGAGGTGCCTACCCACCACAGAGCTTGACTTCTGATTATACATTTCCATAGCAGGAACTTGTCCTGTGCTTGTGTGTATCCATGTGCACCACCAAACACGATGGGCCAACCTCCCGTGCATTTTCGTACTGCAAGGACTGTAATTTCTTCAGTAACTAGCGTGTGGCTTCTAGTCGACTAAAGGCACATGAAGGCCTGAGGCAATGTGAACATTGATTTTAAAAGACTGGATGGATCTGTTCCATGCAGACATGGAGTGAATAAGCAGAGATGCAACACTGGCGAGAATATCAGAAAGGAAGGAAATCACAATATTTCCATTTTCTTTTTCAAGTATAAAGGGATGTTTGAAAATGCTGAGAAAGAAATATGTTTTTTGTTCAGTCTTGGTCTGTGTTAACCGGTGGAACTGAATGACACAAGGTATCCCTGGGGCCAAGAAGCTAACAGGATTCAGGAAAGGATTGGCTATTCATGAGGATGCGTATGTATCCCTGTCTACATGAGGGAAGCAAGCCAGCCCTGATGTCAGACACCTGGATGATGGGACAGAGTGCACCATCAGCAAGACTGCAGACAACACAAAACCCAACCTCAAGAGCTCTCACATTTCCAGCACTGAATTAAAACTTCCTTGAGAAAGATTTCTCCTTCCTTTTACTTTAGAATTTTCTATACCTTCCTCTAAACCTTTGAAAATTGGCCACTGTCTCCAGGGAGTGTTCAGGGATCTTTCTGTCTGTGAAAGAACAGCTGTAGGGGACAACTAATGAGAAATTAGTGGTGGCAGAAACTTAATGAGTCCCCCCTCCCTCACCCCCGGGATGGAAGAATAGGTGAATCAGGTGTCATGCCTGAGCCTGAATAGCTGTTCCTATGAGAATGGGGCTTTGCAGGAGTCCTGGGATGGCGGGGATGGTGGCTGTGTCAGCGCTAACTGCTGTTGGCATGAGGAACGGATGGCTGATGGAGGGCTTCCACGCTCCCAAACTGGGGTGCAATATATGGGTGAAGAGCTGTGGAGATCAAGCACCACCAATGACCTGGGGGGAAGGGGAGAGAGCAGGGCAGGGGGGGCTTGGGGAGGTGTGGGTAGGGTGGGGG